TAGGTTAAATCTGTATATCTGTGCATTCTGTCAACTACAAATTGTTCACAGAACATAAATAGTAACAAAAAAACAATGAAAAACCTTACAGTAATGTTCCTAATTAGAATTCTGTGAGAAAAGTGTTCATAAATATTGAAATAGAAATATTGAAGATTTTTATATATGCAACTCTCACATTGTTTTGAAAATATAACTGTAAAATGTTAATGTTACATGTTAACCAGGGTTATTATTGTTAAATAAAATATTAAAGACATTTTTGTTAATAAAATGAAGCTGAAATTAATCCAAATATTAGAAGAAAAACACAAACTAAACGAAAATTCTAAATGTTCCAGTGACAAAGTTGAAGCACTAAAGTTTGTGGAAATAAATCTCAAATTAAATTTGCGACTACAACTAATGTGCGCTGTGCTTGGTATATTGCATTGGACAATATGTAAATGAGATGTTGCGTATTTGCCCTGTTTAGTAAAACTGGCCCTTAAATAGTAATATAAAAAAAAAATAATAATAAAAACGACAAAAGCACAGCATAATTTTACAAAAAATTAAACTAAAATTAAAAGCAAAACAAAAAAATAATAATAAAATATACTTAATACTAAAATAAGACTAGGGTTAACATGAGATTGGTGTCAAAGAAAGGATGTTACTTAACTCTCTAAATAATTTTTTACTTGGAGCTTATTCATTAATGTTTCTAATGCATAACCAGATGTTCATCCACTTAGAGAAGTAATCCCAGCTGACACGAGGATTTGGATCACTTTATTTATATTTTTTCAGTCTTATGTTTTCAAACCGTCAGATTTAAAATGCATGCTTGCTTATTTGGTTTCCATTGTAAATGCAGTACTGTAAATTTTGAAGGATGAGTATAGAAATTATTTTCAGTGGTAATCAATGGCATCTGTTGAGTTTTTGCGATTTATTTGTGTCAGGAACACCATTTCTCATTATATGAATCATATATCTGCATGACTGTAAAGCTTTGCTATATTGCAAAACAAAGAAAACAAACTGTGTGTTTGTTCCAGTGAGATGTGTTGTATTGGAGTATTTGGCTCCAGTCTGCAGGTGTTAATGGAATTATTCACAGCTCTGGTCTGATCTTATTTCAGCTGATTCCCTGTGATCACCAAATACAGTATTAGCACAGAATCCTATGATGAATTCAGTGGTCATCTTGGTCACACTTCTCAACAGCTCTTCCACCTGCACCTTTCCCCTCTCACCCATCTCTCGACACCTGCTATTTCTCACCTGACGGCCGAGTTTTGAGTCTTGTTCGGTCTTATCCTCATCGATTCGAGTCATCCTGGTCAATATAGCACTGTCTATAGCTCAAAAGAGTCTAGAAGGAAATGCTGTCACCTTCATTATTAATTCTCCACGTCTGCATCAAAGACGAATGCAAACAGAGCAGATGTGCTGTTGAGTGTTGAGTGCTAATGGAGCGTGGTCAACCGTCATCAAAACGACTCCGTCTAATGGTGCTTTAGTCTAAAGCTCAGTCGGATATTGATGCTGTCTTGATTTGACTGCGTGGGTTGTGGCGTCCTCCCTCTGCTGTGCCAGCCATTGTGTTTTTATTTGTTATGATGATATAATTTGTATTTTCACGTCAAGCTGTAGCTGTTCTTCAGACAGAGATGCAATCTCTGTGCTAACCATCTGCTGTTTTGCTTCGCGTTTTAGGCATGGTGACGTTTACGCACCTCGGTTTATGTTTAATGACAGTGGGAATTTTATACTTCTTACTGTTACATTATGGTTGACATGTTTTATACAGAATGTGATGTGGTTTCACTATATTTTGGGGTATTTCAATCATAAAACCATCTGAAGGGTTAAGTTTAGTCAAAAGTGCATTATATTTTTGAAATAAAAAGGTGAACAATTGCACATTATTATTAGCACACTGTGCATATAAGTGCATATTTATAGTTTGTACTTTATCTGACCCAAAAAAACTTTTTATTGCCATTTTTTCATTGTCAGTTTAAAACAATATTTCATATATAAAAAATATAAACTATTTAATATAAAATTGTGTGTGTGTGTGTGTGTGTGTATGTTAATGCTGTCAATCGATTTAAAAAAAATTACTAATTAATCCCACATTTTCTTGAAATTAATCGTGATTAATTCCACCTAACATTAAAGTTTTTAAATATACTTTTATATTGCAATAATTTCACATTCAATCTTCAAATTAATGTACAAACAACATAGACAGTATATTTTAATATTTGTTTAATGGCATCTTTTTATGACTGAAGGCCAGTATCACTGATACCAATACTACTGATGTCTCTATAAAATTGTTTTCCCCCCTAATATTTAACTATTGACTATAGCCATTCAACATTACTGTCACATCCGGGACAAAGAGGCAAACAAACAGGTTAACGTAAGGCAGAGAGTTTATTAATAGGAACTGAGGAGGAGCTTCCAACAGTCTCGGGCGGAGGGGGGGGTACCTTGTGTTCTGTGGAGGGAGGGAGAAGAGGATTAGTGAAGGGTTTCAGCCATCTCCTTGATGGTAGTCGGTGAGGCCCAGTTCCTAACGGCCTCCACCTTCCTCTGGTCCATTTGCACCCCTGCAGGGGTGACGATGTATCCCAGGAAGTGGATGGTGGATTGGTGGAACTCACACTTTTCAGCCTTGAGATACAGGTGGTGTTGACGGAGGCGCTGGAGTACTTGGGTGACATGGTGACGGTGTGCTTCGAGAGTGGGGGAGTAAATGAGTATGTCGTCTATGTAGACGAGGACGAACCGGTTGTGCAATCCGGCGAGACTACGGGAGGAGATTAAATTCCCCGAGGCTCCAGAGTCTACGAGGATTTTGACTGGAAAGGATTGGGTGTGATAAATTGGAAGAGCATTTATATGAGGTACGCACGACACATCAGGAGTGATCTGGATAGTACTCACCGCTGGGCGTGGTGGACGAATGGGACAGGGTTCCGGTGAGGATGCGCTCTGAGAATCCATGAGTCCGTGTTGTAATCCGTTTAATCTTGAGGGGCTGGTCTTCTGTCACATCCGGGACAAAGAGGCAAACAAACTGGTTAACGTAAGGCAGAGAGTTTATTAACAGGAACTGAGGAGGAGCTTCCAACAGAAAAGAGTCAAACGTAGGGATAAATGGAAGCATAGAACACAGTCTTATCTGGGGTCGGCACTCTGGTCCTCCGGCCGAGAACTGAGGAATCCGAGGTTTGGTAGGCAGATCGGGAGGCAAGGAACCCATGCGGAGAAGCTTGTAACCTTGAGACCAGCCGACGAGTGAATGAGGTGAGTGAGTATTTGAGTGGTGTGGTAAGTGGGTGCAGGTGTCCGTGATCAGTAATCAGGTGATTGTGAGCGGGTGTAGGAGGCTGATTCGGCTGGTGAGGCAGGTGTTTCCGTGACAATTACAGTATAATTGAGAGCTATCAATTTTAACATTTATTTGACTTTAAAAAATAACTTCTAATTGTGAACTTAAAACCTTCACATAAACCCATTATAACAAATGTCATATTTACCTGTGCCCTTCAGCAAGTAGGAAATATACAGAAATTGAATAAAGTTGTCAAATACTAAATTCTTAATTAGATAAAGATGAATCCTTAAAGCTATAAAAGTTATTGATTTCCTCTTTTATATTTTGTTCTTTGATTAACAAGACATCACAGCAGCTGGATTATTAGGTTATTTTAGCTGCTATTACTTTAAGAGCTGCCGCTGCTGAACATGACGCGGATCTGACACGCATCGTATTTTCTCAGTCTCTTTACCTTTTCTGAGTATTACTATACATATTTTAATTTATTTGGCACGTTTTGGTAAAGTACATTAATCTATTAAAACTGTGGTCACAATTGTTTATGATTTTTTAAAATTATTTAATTTATTAAATTAATTAGTGTATAATATTTATAATGCAGAAAATTACAGTGAATTCTTTTTACACTGTATTCATAGTTATACCTTTAAAATCAGCATGAAATTGCATTTGCAACCCATTTTTTTTAACTGTAACATTTTGAAGTGAAACAGGATATTCAACAAGAAAATGACTTGATTTTATCCATCGGAAATTGATTGGATGGTGAAAAGTCATAATTTTTGATCCAGGTGGTTGGAGAGGAGGTTGAAAAATAGAACTTGGTGACATCCAACAGCCGAAACGGAAATTGCTTTGAGATACAAACAAACATTTTTTGGAAAATGTTCACCGTTGTACCATTTACAGTAAGACAGGAACATCCATTATGTGTTGATTTCACATTGACCTTCAAAACTCTAATGCATTACATTTCCAATTCCAACACACGATTACACAATATAACCAATGACATTTAGCATTAATAGTGTGCTTTAATGCATTATACACTTATTTAAGGTAATAAAATATTAAAGTCTTATGTATAAGTGTATATTCAGAAACAAATAGTTTAATTGTAGTACCACAATACTACATTTTTCCTCCTGTTTACATACTATCTAAGTCAAAGCCTCTCTATCTCTCTCTCAGACACTTTATTTACACTTCAGAGACATCCTTTTTTCCAAGTCCGCCTCTTTCAGCTTATTTCTTTTTTTTTCCTCTTCAAATATAATGTCTCTCCACTCATCCCAGACAGTGCATCAGTCCATGCTTCCATTGCATTGGTTTTATTCTCCGTTTGTGTGGCTGCATGGAGCCGAGACTCTGATACAGAGATCAACAGCAGTTGTTTAATCCCCTCCCCTCCTCCTCCTCCTCCTCTTCATCCTCCTCCTCTTCCTCTCCACTGCCTTATATTCATGAGGGAGAGAAAGTGGCCCCCTGCAGTGCTGCCATACGCGCTCCTCTCTGTACACCTGACCAGAGCTGGTGACACAAGCCCACAACCACAGAGAGAGAGAGAGAGAGAGAGAGAGAGGAACAGGATGAGGGACGTGCTACAGCTGTCTCTGTGACAGACTCGGCGTCTGCTGCTGCTGCTGCTGCTGCCGATTGCTCTACAAACTGCCTCTGCGTCCGTGCTGTCCAGATACAAACTCGTTCATGTCGTTTTGCCTGGTCAACTTTTTTGACATGGAGTCGCCCACCAAAGAGATTGAGGATTTCGAGAACAACTCTCTGAAGTACCTACAAGCGGATCAGATTGAGAAGATCTGGCTCAGACTGCGAGGACTGTGAGTAGAGTTTTATACTTTCTGTCTCTGTGCATGAGTGAGCAACGTGTATTTGAATTAGAATTTGACTAAAAAGCAAAAATCTAAATAACACAATATTAATAGTAATGTTTTATAAGAATATGAAGTATAAAAGTACAAGAAAATCATATTTTTATGATGAATTATATTTTATTATAATTCTAAATATTTTAAATTATGTTTAATAGAGTCTTAATAAAAACCAACCTGAAATGAAAATGATACATTATAAAGAGTAAAGGATTTGAATATTAAATATGATCATTGTAATGAATAGAAATTTCTAATAAATTAAGAATTAATCAAAAGTATTATTGTGAGATAAATTGTTTAAAATATTACTTATTTATTTTTTATATATATAATATATATATGAATATAATGCACTACAAAGTGTAAAGATATAAAGATATAATAATTTATTACAAATTACACAATATAATGGTAATATTTCATAGCAATATAAAGTATAAAAGTATAATATTTTAACAAAAATAAGTAATTGTGCGGATAACTGAGTCGTAATAAAAGTAGCAAGGAACAAGGATCTTACATTACAAAAAGCTAATAAATTAATATTTATATTATTTAAATTAATAAAAATGTTAATAAATAACAATTTTAAGAAAATAAAGTTAAACTTAAATTTTAAGAATTAAGTAAATGAATTATACAGTGCAAAGAGTAAAAGAATAAAATGTGTAGAAAGTGTGTAGAGTTAAACTTACTTTTATAGTACTTTTCATGTTTTTATTGGGTGATTTGCAGTTGATGGCTATCTAATGTGACGCTGACATATTTGTGAAAGTGAGATGCAGGTCAGGGTTAACGGCTCACTTTCAGTACAAACATCCTCTTCATGTGCGGCTCGGTTCCCAGACGCAAAAGCAACCTCATCTTCCATTAAAAGTGTTTCCAGTTGATCGCTATTTAGAATGCATTTGTTTGAAAACTAGGCTGCCAATGGATCCAGCATATTAAAACAAAATATTTGCAAAGTGCAAGTATTTGCGGAGGAATTACAAAAGGGAAATGTAATGTTTGAACTTATCACTGAAGCTAGATCAAGAAAATAAATGCACCAAAATAGACCAAACCGAAAGATCAGAAAATTGCACGCCTTTTTTCTTTGAAGACACAAGAGTTTTATTAAAATGAATTCTTGTCCTGTGATCCAGAGGCGAAGTTCAGGTGCTAATGATGAGTATAATGTTGCAGAAAAACATGCCTGGGGATGACTTTATTAGCTGCATGTGCAACTTATTTCCTATGGCCATCTCATTTCTTGCCAATAAATGAAATGAATCGCTTCTTCTGAATTTATGTGGACAGTAATGACCATGTATGTTATCACAAGGGGATTTTATTGTTTGCCGTTGCAGTGATTGATCTAATCCTTCACTGTGTCATTCCACATTAAACCGCTGAATGCTAATCCCTGTTATAAACGGCAAAATATCTTCCAGGTTTGGTTTTAGATTTATGACAACTGCGTTCGCTGTGACAGTGGAGTCGCTGTCAGCCTGGGGTCCCTGAACCCAGGTGGAGAAGTCAGACAGCTGTTATTTGTCCAGAAACAAGGGCCATCAACATTGTCATAACGGCACCGGTCAAGAGCAGGGCCAGATTGAACCGAAGTCATCCTGTTTCCAGCTTTATTTCCCTTTTAGGCCCATTTTATTGAGCTTATTAAGAATTTAATTGTGCACTTGGCAGCTCCAAGGGAAATGAGACCCGTGTCGACACCATTGGACACCGAGAAAAACACATATCTATAAAAGTTTAAGGCTGTAATAAAGGCAGGCGTTTTCTTCGCGGTAGATTAGATGGGCAGAGAGAAAGAGAGGAAGACGTTTTGATGATGAAGATGACAGGAAGTTAAGGTTAAAGGTCGCTGATCACGTAAATAGCAGCGATTGTGTGTTAGTCTCGCTAGGCTCTTCTGAAGGTGATGTCATCTATCTAATTCGACCAATCAGAACGTCTGTCTTCATATGGCTTGAGAGCAGCTGCAGTTGAGATGTTTTACTGAACGCTGCTTTAAAAGAAGAGGCATTTCCTTTCTACGTGCAAAACAGAGCGAGCATTCATGCACTAACTGGATTTAGATGACCAAATGTTCAGATGTCCATCATAAGAGGGTCATTGTTTTCCTTTTTTGCACAAATGTTCATGTGCGCCTTGATTCGAGCATTTGAATCAATTGAGTATTTGAACTCCGTATAACCGCTAGATATTCACTTGATATTTTATAGAAAGTCCTTCAAAATGGAAATGAAATTGACGCTGAAGATTTACTGTTTACGTCTTGAAATTTGAAATGCAAGCAGTTTAAAAAAATCTGTATTTAAAATGTTATTCAATAGATTTTTTTTTTATTCAAATTTAAACAGTGAGACAATTATGAAACTCAAAACAACTCATGAAATGAATGTAACAAAAACATTTAAAAAATTAAACAAAAATTTTTAAACAGAAATGAAATTAATCAATTATAATAAAATAACAACATATACATATAAAAATTGCCTGAATATAAATGCATGAAATTCACAAAAACATTATGCTATTTTAAGGTAAAATACATGTTTGAGTATTTGGACTTTTGATTCAAAAATATAGTTGTTGAAATATATGCCTGTGTGACAACTAGCCCCAGTGGCCTTATATACTGAATCTAATTTGCATTTACCTGAACTGAAATGTCCATATTTTTTTGTTTCAGGCGAAAATATAAGAAGACGTCACAGAGGTAAGATATTCACTCGGACTAGTGTGAATACAACAGATCTCATCATCTCAACATGAAACATGAGCTGGGAAAATGAGCGAATAAAACTGTTTGCGAACAATTTGTATAAACTGAGGTGTTTTTTTCTGCTGGAAATCGGTTGTAATCAGAAACCACATCTGTTGTACGTAGGTCTGGTTTTCCAAAAGCAGAACAGGGTTGTGGCATTGTGTTTAATTACTGGTTGTCAGTAGGAAATAAACAGCAGTTTTCTTTCATTATCACAAGTGAATGGAGCGCAGTTGTGCATTAGCATATGAGAACACTTAAAAAACTGTGCTGTGATACCATGATGGTAAAGTGAAGGATTTAGATAATAATACCATAATGCATAGTACATTTTATATATGGTATATGGAATGACTACAATTTAGTCAGTGGTTATTTTTGTGTTTTTGAAAGAAGTCTCACCAAGGCTGCATTTATTTGATCAAAAACTCAAAATTGTGAAATATTACTATAATTTAAAATAACAGTTTTCTATTTTAATATAGTTTGGAATGTAATTTATTCCTGTGATGCAAAGCTGAATTTTCAGCATCATTACTCCAGTCTTCAGTGTCACATGATCCTTCAGAAATCATTCTAATATGCTGATTTGCTGGTCAGACATTTCTTTAAAAAAGTTGTGCCGCTTAATACTTTTGTGGAAACTGTGATGCATTTTAATGGACATGTATCAACATATGCATTGAAGTACCATATATAAATACTACAGTTCATATATTTTAATCATCCAGTTCCACAGTATATTTCAAAGTACTGTATCATTAGCATTTGATACCTTCACTATACAATGGTACTTTTTTGTAAGGGAAAACTTGTGATATTTTTTACCCTGTAGTCTATCTCTGTGTGTAAGGCTATATGTCTCATATACAGTATATCAGTCTAGCTGTTTATATTTGAATGTATTTGAGAGACACACTAAAACACAACCCAAATAGAACAGCTACAGATGTCCTCTGACATCAACCAGAGACTAAACCAAAAAAGCTTTAACCGGTCAGTAATGACAGTGAGACACACACACACACACACACACACACACATAAACAGCAGACGCCTGTCCTTCCCTTCTCACTTGTGTCTTTTGTGTGTGTGTGTGTGTGCGCGCGTGCATGACGATGTCTGTGTTTTTCAGGCTTTGATGATTTGGCAGGGCAGTGTTGGAGATGTCAATGACTGTGTGTGTGCAGAGCTGGAGGGAAGTGTGTGTGTTTGTGTGTTTGAATTGGGCTTGAGGGAGTTTATGAGCCCATCAAGGTGAAAGGTCACGGGCCGTTCAGACTTCAGATCATATATATATATATATCACTGTACTTCTGAGAATGTGACATTTTCATCTGTCTTGATAATGATTTTTGTTTCACCAAACCCAGTTTGGGAAGTTATTTTGTGCCCAGTCTCAAGCTTAGACAGCACAATATTTTATTTCTGATGAACTTCTAAATGGCACACAATAACAAAACAAACTCAGCTTGGTCACTTTACATGTCCGTCAAACAATCTCTTCCTATATAAGTGGGCAATTGTTGGTTGTCATAAGCTCCAGTGTGAACTACACACTATAGTCCAAAGTTTGGCTATGCAAAGCTATTTTGTGCTCAGAAGATTGAGTGAGAATATTTGATAAGAATCCTAATTTGTTTCTTATGTGTATATTTATACGGAATTGGGAAGAGTGACGTTTTCTCAGGCGAAATACGGCACTGGTGGGGCTGTTTGTGGCAGCTGTTTAATTTGATGTAATTATCACCATCACTCCATTCCTTCACAGGATTTATGTCTCCTGATGATTAAGTCATGGGAGATTCTTGCGTGTTCAGATAAATCTCTCGTCCACACTGCTGTGCATTGAAGGAATTTCCAAAAATATGTATTTTGCCATCATTTATTCATCCTCATGTTTTTTATTTATTTTCTGAAGAACTCAAAAGCAATTCCAACTCTTTTTCATCTAACAAAAATGGATGTACTGCAAAGCTCCAAAAAGGACCTAAAAACACCATAAAATTAGTTGGTACAACTCGTGACTTTGAGTTGTTACTTGCTGAAAATCTTGAGTTTAAAGGTCTTTGCACACTGAGTCCGAAATTTTCGTATGCGTTTTTTTTTTCATATTCGTCATCCTTTCCTATCAAAATGCTTGTTACGGATGCGAAAACGCTGAAATTCGAACCCCATCCGAATTTTTTAATGACGGACGAATGTTTCGGAGGCAGTGTGTAAACATGATTGACACAACATAAGGTCGTATTTATTTTTTAACGTGCGAAAATTTCGGACGAGAATTTTGGACTCTGTGTGCAATGACCTTAAGACCCAAGAACCAATGACCATTGGCAAAAAATAAAAATAATAAGGGTTTGTAGCAGCTTGAGGTTGGATAAATGATAGCAAAATTTAAATTATGTCCAATAAATTTATGTAAAATATATCTTTCATTGACTATATACCAAACCAGCACCTAGTCCATTGTTTGGCAACCTCACTGACATTTGGAATTATTATTGTTTTGATGGCAAAAAAGTGTGTCATGTTGCTGAATGTAAGCATGTGTGATGTATTTTATAGCTCCAAGAGAAACCACATTCTAGTTCTAGTACATTCAAATTCAATTGGGTCACACCGCACAGGTTTCGTGGGTTTTTTAGCATTGGCCAAATGGTCTGCTACACACTATCAGTGGGTCATACATTGTGGTTTGAGTTGGGTAGGGCAGTGTTTGGCATGCCATACAGCTCGTAACTAAATGTGATGGGCTGCGTGACTGTCGGAAGGACTGTAGGAGATAGTGTGGCATACAGATGTGATGGACTTTTTTAAAGATTTTCCTATCAAAAGACTAGAAGAAGTTGATCTTCATTAGTCCAATGTGCATAAGTTTGCCAACCTATCTCTATCATTTGGCTATTATTTACATTTCACACTGTTTTACTGTGCTTCAAAAAGACAGGCAGCTAGTCTTTCTCTTACAGACCTCTTAGTATTAGTCATTTCTCGATGCTGTTTTGATTTTAAAGTTGACTGGTGAGGTCTAGATCACCATTACAGTGTTGAACTTCTCAGATGTAGTTGAAGAGATGTTAAGTGTTTGGTTAGTGCACAGTGCTTTTGATGGGGAGGAGCAGTTGGCTGGCAGAATTTTGAAGATAACATCTTACAGAACAGAAAATCTTACAGAACAATTTTTTCTTGAGCAGAAAATCAGCATATTAGAATGATTTCTGAAGGATCATGTGATACTCAAGACTGGAGTTATTATGCTGAAAATTCAGCTTTGTCATCACAGGAAAAAATTACTTTTTATTTTATCTTTAATGTCGCACTCTTATTTTATTTTCACTGTATTTTAATGCTTTATATTTTATTGCTATTGTAACTTGCGTATTTGATTTTGAAACTTGTTAATTGTTATAACTATTATTAGCTGCCTATCTTGGCCAGGACAAAAGCGATTTTTAATCTTCTTTAAAGGCACAATATGTAAGATTTTTTTATTAAAATATCCAAAAACCACTAGAACAGTGTTATATATTTTGCTGACTTGTGTTCTTACATTATCCCAAATGTTTCGAAGAATGTTTAAATCCAGAGAAATAAGCAATTTTAACTAGTGACACGGACCGTGTCCATAGTGTCATTGTGTCGCCTGCTTTCAAATGTATCTAGTATGATAAAACAGCGCTGCTTTTTTCCATACCTCATATTTATCATTCAGGTATTTATAGGGGCAAATGGTTGGCAATACGTTTGTACTGCCACTGGCATTTTGTCCAGTGTTGGCATTTTGACCCAAACTGATACCCGAGCCACTGAATCCAGGGAGTGTATAACAGCCATCATTGTGGCCTTTTCTGATGATCTAATTAAGACTGGCTTCCCAGTCAGAGGCAGCACAGCTATTACAGGCTCCTGCAGCCCGACGGCACTTCAATCTGTTTTTCACACATGGCGTAATGAACACTGGGGCATTCAAACTCACCAGAGCCCTGCGCAGATGGGGTTTGTTTACACGTTATCGTGAGGTTCTCTTTTCTTTTTGACTTCTTGTGGTGTGGAAACTAGCTTTGATGTGGTTTGAACCCAACAGTCTGTCCGCGTTCAACTTTCTTCTCCTCATAGCTTTGTGTCATTCTGATAGACTACATGTGAAGCCGATTAGCTTTTCCAAGTTGGAATGAAGCGGAGATAAATATTTAGAAACCACCGACAGATGAAAATTCTCTTTCGCATTGGAGCGTTTAGACTTTTTACACAAAAACATCTCACACGATTGAGTCAGTCAGCGATCCAGAGCTGCGTTTTGGCGTTCGTGAGTTTCTTGCACTAGCTGAGTGCGTTCGGCTCTTGAGGTGTTGTCTCGTCATGCCTCCTCTGACTGATTTCAGCTTGTTAATTGATCGCTTCACAGCCATTGAATCACAGCCCCCACACCTGATAATTAACAAGATAATTACTCCAGTCAAAAAGTGACATATTTAACAAGCGATTTCACCTTACAACACCAATGCCCTCCCCGGGGAGCTGCCGTCGCTGGTGTGTTTTGTCAATTGAATACAAAACAGGGAGACAAAATGGATGCCATTGTCATTTGCCATCCTTTAGTCTATCTTTATGCACTTCCCGTATAGACCTCGAGTGAGCTTCCCTGATCGTATTATTCCATACTCCTGAAGAGTCCCGTGCCCACAGGGGTTTGCAGGGATTAAATGTGCTGTTCTGTTGAAGAGTGCAGTGCCGATTGCGGGGACGCTTCGCTCTGATCTGTCCTTCAATTTGCTGGCAGTGAGATGGAGAGCAGAAATGAGTCTGGGTTTATCTCCCAGAGCAGGGAGCAATCCCTTCCGGCCACACGACGACCCCTCATTCCCTGCTGCTCCCACACAATAATGGGATACAGGTGCTGACTAGCATTCATTTGTGATGAATTCCATGCACATCATAACAAACCGCCC